TACATGCGGAGTCGACACGATTGATGAGTTGTGTGACGATCGCGAAGGGGGTGGGAGCGGTGAGGAAGACGACGAATGCGAGCCCGAAGCTGTGCCGAGTTTTGCCGAAGCACACGCTGCATTGGCAAAAGTGAAGTCGTTCTTTTATGCGCATAATATTAGTGAATGTGACGAGGAAAACATTTTGAACGTGGAAAGTACTCTGTTTGGTCTAAAACGTAAAGTTTCGACAAACCAGTTGTCCATTAAAGACTTTTTTGGTAAAAAGAAGTAACTTTGAAAGAGAAACATTGTTTTTTTTTAAATTTTTAATGCTTTCCCGCATCTATCGTTTTTATTTCCCACCCCCGCCGAAAACGATGCATCGAGGTTTCACTGTAGTATGATGTCATGTAGCAGGTTAGCTTAGTTTACTTTGTAACAGACATGGTTGACAGAATTCTTAAAACCAACTTAATCAATCATCTCCCTTGCCTTTTTTATATTGCTGTTGCTTCATTTACCTGCAGGAACCAAGTTTACACATTGAGGTGAAAGATATGCGGGGGTTTCTTGCAGAAGATGATGTTGGAGAGAACTGGTTGGAGGATGATATGGCTTCCACCTCAAGACCAAACAAGAAGAGACGCCTTGCAAGTCCCATTGAAAAGCACAGGTGTGTGGGTGCTGAAACTGATCTACAGCATGCTGGAAAGATAAGCATATTGTGTTTCATATTATCACCTCTTGAATCAGAAGGGCATGCATAGAAAAATAAGTTATTTCTTTGTGCAGGATGTTCATTGAGTAATTGGTAGCTGTTCAGCTGGTGAAAAAATTTACTGTTATGGAATCTAAAGTTCATTGTCATGTTCACGAAACACTGTGAATGTACTTTATTCTGAACGTGTTGAATCCAGTACTGACTTTCATACCATATTTTTTTAAGATCAGTTGAGATTATGTTATATTCCCATCTGTAGTATGTCCCACTCGATGATGAGGGCTGAATTAAAAGCTTGAAGACAGAGTGTAGTCTGATATAACAGAACCATATACACATAAAAATAAAAGCTGCACATTTTTCAGCTTGACATATTTATAAACATGATAGGAAAACACATTATTCTTGTTTATTGTAAAAATGGCAAGTTGTGTGTTAAATAGAATATTTAAAGGGCAGAAACTAAACGGTGAATTAATTGCTACGCATTAATTTCCATTTGAGCATTCCTCTGATGTTTGTTCATTACCATTGAATTTCATTCATATTGATACCAAGAGTTGTACCCCTATAAAGCAACTGGCAGAATTGTAGTTTTGTCTATTTTAATATTTAGGGTTTTTGGTTAGGAGATAGGACAGTAAGAATCTGAACTGAATGGTAACACACATCCATAGAATTCAGTCTGCTTATAACTTCAAGAAAATATAATTTTGATTTGTTGCTGTTGTTCCTAAATATTTCACGTTTCTTGAATTTTTAATATTTCCTTGCTAATTTTATACATATTATGATAGTGTCCTGCATTCTGGTAATGACATATGGATATGTAATTAATTTTCTTGGCACTTTTTCTAGACTAACCTCCATACTGGAATTAATAGAATCCTGCATTTTCCTTTATGCTCTTAAAGAATTTACAGTGTAAATTAACATCAGCATAGACCTGTAACTGAAGTGTTTCATTCATTTTCAATCCCTTCTGGCTTCTTTGACCTTCCTAATAGCATATACTAAACCAGCTGGAAAGCAGTGGTGATGGAGTGGCATGTTTCAAATTATTATGAATAGGAAATGCATCAGACTATTGCTTACCTATACACATTTTGATTAGGCTGACTAGTTTTATTGGGGTACTAAATTCAGTGATAATATTGTACAGTGTTTCTGCCCTGAGTCGTAGACTTCCTTGAAATCTAGATCATGTCCTGTCCTGTTTCTGGAAGGTCCATTTTAATGCTACTGTCACATCTTCACCTAGGTCTCCCAAGTGGTGTCTAATGTTGAATTTTGCAACTCGCATTATGTACACATTGTGTCATTGTGTTAACTGCAAAAACAGTTTAGAGTGGTTCCTGCGTTCTGTAAAGAGAACAAAGTCTTTTGGGGCAGCGAGCTTCAAATGGAACATAACACAGACCTGCAAAAGGTGCAGTACACCTGCAGTTCCATGGTTCCTTCTGTTGAAGTTATGATATTTTTGTGCAGATTGGAATTAATGACTGGCTCAAGTAGGAGACGCAGTGCTATGGAGATGGGTGTTGAGGGCGAGGATTTGCAGACAGAGGTAATTTTGACACCAGAGGATAACAGGTACTTGGAAAATTCTTATGTTACTGTTTCTTGCCATCTCCCAGTCCTTCACGTTCTTGCAGTTTAAATAAATGTAATAAGTGGTTCAGTGACTGAGTTAGTTAAATGCTTAGTAAGTGTGTGATGTAGTCATTTGGTCACTCAATTTTTTAGATAGACTATTATTTGGTGGGTACAGTAGTTACTTAACCAAATAGGTAGTTGGTTATTTAATCAGACTGCTAGTTAATGTGTAGTTCATCAATTAGGTAGGTAGTATATAAGTTATTTAGTTATTTGGTCAACCAGTAAATAATAGATAGGACATTTTAAAACTGTCAGCATTCATCAGCCTTGAGTATTTTAACTTTTGCAGACTACATCTAAATGTAATCAAAGTTCCGCATAAGAGTAGATCTCTTGGAATGTTGAATGTTCCACGACAGACACTCCCAGATACAGGGTTTGTCACCACAGCAACTCCTCAGACTACTAACTCTGTTGAGATGGCAGCTTTACAAGCCAACAAACCTGTTGAGTTGGCTGCATCGCTGTCAGTGCGGGTGCGTGTTGAAAACAAATTGCTTCTGGTGCCAGTACCATTACCAGAACAACTGACCATTGGGTGGCTGGCACATGAGGCTGCAAAAAGATATTTCAGGTAGGTTCCTATGCCAATAAATTATTGCATAGCGTGAAGTTCTAAGAGTATTTTTCATGCCTAATTTCTTTCATTACCGATATGGTTAGCTTAGCATAATCTATAATAACAACAAAAAATTGTATGGTAGCAGAATGTTCAGATTTATCATTAAACACTACTAATACTAAAGCTTACCATTTGGTACAATACTGAGATTGTTTTGTCCATTCCCCATCCTCAGCCTCTTTCTAAGATCTATCTTAATTATTTTCCTCCCACATCCTTCTTGGTCCTAGAAGTGGATGTTTTCCAAGAGATTTTCTGGTAAAAATTATGCGTGCATTTTGTTTCCATCTTAACAACATGCTGAGCCCATCTTAGCCTCTTAGAATTTTCTACCACAACAACACCAATAATGATGATGATGATGATGACAACAACAACAACAGCAACAATAACAACAATAATAATACTAAGTGATCTATTTTATGTGATGCAGAAGTACATCTTTCAATTATGTTAAAGTTGTACTGTCATGGTGTTTGTATTGATATTATATAAAAAGGTTTCTTATACAATATATCATAATGTTTATAATCTAACTTCATACAGAATTTCACATGACAGGTTGTCTTTCATTGTAATATTATTTTGCTGCAATTCATTGTCACAATACCAAGGTACAAGATGATTTCCCTTGCCCCTCTGAAATGTTTGGACAGTCATCTAGGGAGAGATGTCACACCTTTCTTGCAGTATTGAAGGCTTGCAGCCTTCTCTTAGCCTTGTCACAAGAGATGGTGCACTCCTGTCAGATGATGACCCAGTCTTACTTGTTATGGGCAGTGAAGAAGTCCTGTCTACTGTAACGTCCTGGAACATTCCACCATTGACAGATCGCTACATGGAGGCCTGCCGATCCTTGCGCTCAGGTATTTGCTACATTAATCACTGAACAGCTGTTCTCTTCATCTGTAGAATGAAGGCAGATGTGTTGTGGTACAGGTTCTTCCATGAGCATTTCATAAAGTTGTTATTCAATCAATTAGGATATTGCCTGTCGTGAAACTCAGAGATTCATGTTTTTTAACATAAAAGCCTGCCATTGAACCCTGTCTTGACTCACTTGATTTCAGTCCACTCTTTCACACCATTTGTAAATACCTCATGTTAATACTGTCCTCCCAACTGTGGCTACATCTGCATTGATGGTTTTCAATTAATCATTTATGTACACTTTTAATTATATCTTGTATGCTACATGGCCACCCATATGCCTTTTTATTTAATCAGTTGAATGATATACATTTAAAAGCAGGATTTGTGGAGGATGGTCATGTAATTTTCTCTATTTAATCTCTTGTAGATCCAGTTTTACTACTCTGCATTTTCTCTTAAATACCCTGAATCTTCAATCTCTACTCCCCTCCAAGTTTCAATATATATACATATATAACAGCAGGCAAAATTACAGTTCCTATATGTGTTTATGGAGCCCTAAGTTCACTGCCATGTTTGCCTTGTGAGTGGACCTTATCCTGAGGCAGTTGAATTAATTCAGCACTCTCACACCTTATTTCTTCAAGATCCTTTTTTATATTATTATTCTAGCTACCCTTAAGTCTCCGAAGCGGTCTCTTCCTTTGAGATTTTCTAATTGAAATGTATGAATTCTCATCTCAAAGACAGTTGGACAAGGATATTAATGTATTGCTCTAAATAGCCATCAGGGCAGTGGAATCCCATTATAAATAGCATTTAAAAGTAAAGTGTCATTAGATCTGTAAGCATAATCCAGTTCAAAGTATTTTGTGTGGGGACCTGATGATCTGAGTATAAGGGACTGGACTTTTGTACCAAAGGTCCCAGGTTTGAGAAAAAGTCAATGTAGTTTGAATATTTTGAAATGTCTTTTATATGCCTATATCATGGGTCTAATGTTTGATATGTTGATTCTGTGTTGTAGCACCAGATACACATATCAGTTCTTCTCTGGAAGCCAGTCAGGCCACTCAAAGATTGCAGTTGTCAGACCTGGCACTCCCTGCAGCAGAGTTGGCACCACTGTTTCGTGCACTTAATCGTCAGCATACACTTCAGCAGCTTTATCTTTCAGGAAATTGCTTTGGCGATGAAGGAGTCAAGGTAGGGGACACAAAGCAAAATAAACCAGCCAGAAAGAAAGGATAGTAGCAAACACCTCTGTCTTCAAGAGCTTCTTGATAGTTATTTACCTGTTAAAGAAATTTAATCTTGCTCTTACAGAACATTGATGTGTTCGATGTTGGATATGTAGAGTTTTTCTTTTGTGTTTTCATTGTTCCTTATTGAGTGCACAAATATAAATAAAACTGAAATGCACACAGCAGGATCAGCTAATTAGATTAAATAATAAGAAAACTAGAAAGGTCTGATCTATACTAGAATACACAGTGTCCACATGTGTTCTTTACAAATTGTGAACTTGAATGTTTTTCACTGTTTTAAAAAGTTACCATATTATGTATATACTCTGTAAGCATTGCTATCAGTATCATTTACTTAACCCTAGTAATAGATTTCATGTGACATAAAAACATAAGGTTTATTTATTGACTCTTGCTTGGTTGTACTTTTTTCTTATTAACAAAAGAAATGAGTGAATTATGATGTAATGTACGAGGTGCGATCGGAAAGTTTCCAGACTGCGCGTATAAAAACCCGTACACTTATCTCAGATATTAAATTCATCCATCACCCTCGAAGTAGTTCCCCTGGGAGTGAACACAACGATCTCAGCGCCGCTGCCAAGCCTGGAAGCATCCCTGGAAATCTTTCTTTGTCAGCCTGTCAAGCACCATCTGCGATTCTGCCTGAATCTCTTCTATCGTCTCAAATCTCCTTCCCTTTAGCTGAATTTTTATCTTTGGGAAGAGGAAGAAGTCACACGGAGCTTAGAAAGGAAGTTGGGGTCGGTTCTTGCAAGATCTTTGACCTCCTGACAAATGAGAAGTCGATTCTGCTTCTGGTCCTCAGACAGGATGCGTCACATGTGGAGTTCTTCCTTTAGAATCAGCTGACAGGTCCCATAGCCTATCCCAACAATGTCGCACAAGTCGTTGATGGTACGACGTCGATCTTCGTGAATGGCCTGCCGAATCTTCGTAACATTTTCGGGCGTTGTGCTGGAAGATGGTCATCCAGAACGCTCGTCATCGACAGAGGTTCGGCCATTTTTAAAATGTGAATGCCACACAAAAGTTTGTGCCCGACCCATTGCGGACTCCCCAAAGGCTTGCTTTAGCATTTCATAGGTTTCCGTAGCCGTTTTGGCGAGTCTTTGGCAAAATTTGATGCACACTCTTTGTTCATGAAAATCCGCCATTCCGAAATCGCAGGAGGGTCGGTGTAATGCACTACCAAAACGCCCGTAACTAAGAAACAAATGCTAATTCGATGATGCCGGCTGGCACACTGATTCACTATGAATGTAGGCCGCACCCCCTAGCGGCAGAAGCTCGTACTACATCCGGTTTGCCCTCTATTGAACCAGTCTTGAAACTTTCCGATCACACCTCGTATTCCATAATTTTCACTAAATTCATGAACATAAGTTTTTTCCCTTCTCTACTGTTTCAGTTGTTTGGAAACTGGGTTTTGAGAGATTACATGTTCTGATGGGCCTGATTTTATATTACAGACTGGTAAATAAATATAATGTATAGCCTGTGATACATGTTAATCTATAAATTCTGAAGAAAAAGTATTATTGAAAGACTGTTAGTTAGCTTGGACAAATTCAGTTTCTGACTATACATATCCTGTGTTATTAATGTCTTCTTCATGTACTGTGTATCAGTAATGACATAACAGTGTGGGTTAGTTTTTGTGATAGTGTACTGGACTTGTATGCATGTAGTTATGGTATCAAATTCAGTTCAGGTCTTTTGTTGTTTTTATTTGTTTGCTGGTTTCATGCAGATGCCATTTTGGTTTGCATTATACAAAGAAAAGCTATATTGAAGTCATGAACTTTTCAAAACTCTGTTATCGTACATCAATGTATGACCCTATTGTAAGTGTTGCAGGTGTTAATCCCACCTCATAAGTTTGTTCATCTGCTGTTAGTATTACCGATTGTTGGAAAGTAAAATGTATGATTTTAAGTTGGACCGCAGTGGCATAATGTCCATACCAGATTTCATCACATGACTTGAACAGAAATGGCTGCAGTCCAGTATATGCCTGAAGAGATTCACAAACCTTCACCAGGATATCCAATATCCACGTTGAAATTTAAAGAACTGCTTTATTTTGGTCATTTACAGTTATTCTTAGTGTTCTTTAATGTTATTCAGTTACTGCATAGGCTATGAAGCACTACGACAAGATAATTGTGAGTGATTAATTGATGTCTTTGCCTGTTTTAAGGTACTGTCTTAGAATTTTCATAGAAGGAAAACCACAGGAACCTCATCACTGTATCCAGTTTTGGCTGAGAGATTCACATCACATTTCTTATCAGAGTATGGTGTTTGTATGTTACCAGTTGCTGGTTGCAGGCTTGCCAACTTTATCTCAGCTGCAGGAGCTGGACCTTAGCTGCAACAACATTTCGGCTGATGGTGTCCTTCATCTTAGCACTGTTTTTTCAAACGTCACAGCACCAGTACTTCAGGTAAGTGTCAAAGATGACTGTAATGTGACATACAAGTGATGTTAAGACTTCCGATCCATTACGTTTTAGTCATGTTCAAAACAGAATTGCAGTCCTAATGATTATTAAGCTGCTGCTTTAGGGCTAATGAGTTGGACTTCTGTTGCAAAGGTCTGAGGTTCCAGACTAGCCAGATAATGAGCTGATTTTTCTTTGTCTTTCTTTTCCTGACCTCTGACAGGGTTAAAACTTTGTGACTGTGTAGTATTCAAACTCCTTGTCATGGTTTGGAATCCATATCAGGCTGTAAATCCACTTTGACAGTCATCATCATCCTATCATAAGGGGTAGTGAAGCCTGCCTAAGTAGTGGCCTCCTTTGCCATTGATGAGGTATAACTGGTGCCTGTATTACAACACACTGTTCTTTCAGCTTTTCATGATAGTACTCACTTTCCTCATAATATCGAAGTGTCTAAATATTTCCATCATGTATTCTCACTCCTGAGAGGTATGTTAACTAATGACCTGGGAAGAGTATAATGGTTTTTATTTTGGGAGTGTAACACCATTATTCTATTAACATGTTTAGAATCAGGTTTAGGCATCCTCATACTGTTCCTAAAATGGTTTGGTTTAAGTATAACAATTTTTTTTTATTTTCTTTTATAAAGTTGGTTCAGTAAAAAGCACCTGATTACCAGAGATTAAGGTCTGCAACTGTGTTAGATTGATTCTTAAGACAAAGAAGTTTCTTCCAGAGCACATTCATTGTCAGAGTTACGGCAAGAGAAGTATTCTGATTCTGGTCAGATGTTACAGTCCATCAGGCTGTTTTTTACTAGTAGCCTGGAATTTCGAGAGAAAAGCACCCAACACTTGATGATCAACATATATCTTAATGATTTTGGTGATTTTGTGTGATTAATCTCTAGTAATCACCATTGTTTGTGTTTTTGTTGCACCTTCCTTGTGAATGTTTGTGTCTCTCTGTGCATCAGTATTTTGTAAACCAGATAACTGAATAGAGATATGTACCAAGTAATTCCCCGATTTCTTTTGAAGAAATTCATGCCAAAGAGGATAAGTACATTTCTTTTTACTTTAACTTAATGCTTCTTTCATATACCTTCTTGTTGTCATTTGTTTGGTATGGTATTTTAATTTGACATTAAATTTTAAGGCAAATATTAATACACACATTGATGAGATTGCATAGAAACATGTGTCTTACATAAATGGTAGTACTGAATATTTGTGTTATTTAAAAAGGCTCTGGCAAGACTGGACCTCAGTCACAACCCACTGGGTGATGGCGCTGTTAAACACTTGAACATCATACTACCTAAGCTTGTGTCCCTAACTGTGCTTCAGCTGCAAGGCTGCCATCTTACTGTCAACTGCTTCAAGTCAGCAGACATACTGCTGTGTTGTAAGTAAAGATCCTTGTAAAATTAATGGTCTGATAGAATGTGCTGATCAAAGTTTCTGCTTCATATTCAGAAGATTCAAAATCAAATAGCAGGTTATCATGACTCAGGTATTTGTAATTTTCTTTCTTCCAGATGAATGTTATAATGCTACCTTAAAATAGGTCATGACCACGTTCTTTTGACATTAAATAACCACTATTTGTAGTGATTCTATCATATTTTATTTGATGCTGTGATGTATATATAAGTGACACATCATCATTAATTAAACCATGGAATAACCAATTATCAAAAGTCTGGACATTTGTTTGTGCTTGCAGTGGATTCTGTTCATGTACTTGACGTGAGCTACAATTCCCTTGGTGGAAGCGGTTTGTTGGGTTTCCTAGGATGGGTATGTCCAGCCCAGATTGTCACCCTCAATCTTGGTGCTACCACAGCAAGTGGTGATTCATCTGTGGCACACGAGTTAATTCAAATGTTTACAGAGAAGGAGTTCAACAGACTGACAACTCTCAATCTGTCTGACTGCAAACTCAGGGATGAGGACATCTGGAGTTTGCTGAAGTATGTGACTCATGTTTTGTAACTAAAGTGATAACTCTTAGAATTTCATTTCACCACAAGACACATTACTTCTCCCAAATACATTATCATGTCCTACTAGGCCTGTGGAATTATATGTAACCTTATTTTAAGGCTGAATCAGAGAATTTCAGTATTTATAGACATACAGCATGCTGCTGGCTCATACTTGTGAGCTGCTTGGTGATTTTCTGCACTCTAGTGGCAGTTTATTCATTTGTTTATAGCCACTTAACATTATGTCTAAACAGAAACTAAAAACCCAATTCTCAAGGTGTGGATCAAGAAATACATAGATCTGGTTCTTGAAACCAACTGTAATACTGCATTCGTGCTTTACATTCTGGAGGCATAAAATTTTGTTTGCTGTGAATTTAACAGATTTTTGTGCCATCAACTGAGCATTCTGATGCAGCACATTGAAGAGCTAAGCAGAACAACAGTTTTTTATTAACACATTGTAAAAAATTAAACTTAGCAAGAAGAGAAATTTCCAGTTGTTACTGCCAGTGCATGGGTGAATGGAAAATCGTCTGATGTGGATATGCAGTGAAACAGATCCTGTATTATCCTTAATGAATAAATATGCTGTGTTCATCCAAAAAGACACCTATATCCTTTTCCATGCAGCTACATATTCATTGTTTTGTATTATACCATAAAATAGATTCCTTCCACACCCTTTCCAATTCATTCTCTGGTCTGTTAACCTATGAGGTTAAAAAACTATTTAAGAACAGACTTTATCAGAAACATTTCTTGTTTCTTACTGTCACATAATATCCATTATCCACTTCCTGCTGTTTATTACATGTCTTACACTTTGTTATGGTCTCAATTGTAATCTCATACATATCCTGTCAGCAATGCAGTCTCAATTAAATGTTGCATTCTGTTACAGAGTACTTCAGAAGGGTGGTACACTTGAAACACTGCAATTGGCTGGAAATACTGAATTGAGTTCTGTGTCACTACGCCGCCTTCTGCAGTATCAGCCTGCATTACACTCAGTTGACCTGTCCGGTTGCACCAATATTGCTACATACCTTGGGAATGCCTCCCCACAGCTCTGGATGGCACAAAAATGCTACAAGAAACTGGAATCACTGACATTAAACTCACAAGACTTTGGTAAAGAGGAAATGGAAGCATTATGGTGGGAAGCATGGGGGGCAAGGGCCCATGTACAGAGGGCCCCAGGAGGACTTCTTTGCTTGTCATTGAAGGAATAAATTGTGATGTTATGAAGTGGATATTACATTGACATGAAGGAAGGCTGATTGTATGAGAAGAAATTAACTTCCTGGTGGTAAATTATTGTCAGTACAAAATGTCTGGAATTATTTTCCATAGCAGAAAACCCACAGTGCATTTTTATAAAATATATCATAATTTAAATGTGTCTGTAAATAGTTGGTGACATTTCCAGATACTTTATTACATCATACTGTCAGTATGGTATTATCCTAAATATCCATGTGTTGATTATCTTTATGCTGATTATATTGACTGCACGAAAAGCATAAAATGGGTGTATAAGGGAGGTTATGTCTGCCCATCTGCATGTTTTATCTTCATACCTACTTGATAGATTTGAACAAAGTGTGTTATTTGGGGTTTACTCTAGGAATTGTCTGTAAATTTTAATTTTGGTTCACTTTGATCAGATCCATCGAGTCATGCACAACTGAAATATTGGTAGAAGAAGAAAAGTGGTCAAATATAACCAGTACTATGTGTGGCATTTCTTTTTCTGTCTGAAAAAGACTTTTCATACAAAATATTAGTACATAGTACAAGATCTGCAGTTGTTATTTGAATGCAGTGAATATTTAATAAAATACAAGAGAAAATAATTTCTGTCTACTGAGAATAACTGTGCAGCAATAGATTTGTATCTGAGACTGGTTTATTGTTAAATAACACAATTTCATCTTCGTGTTGAAGTTATTGTGAACATTTTTATTAAAACCCATTCATAATTCAATATCACGTGATTAATGTACCCACAAAGCCCTGAAAGATAAGTTGAAAATAAGATTTTAATTATTTGTGATTTTAATTAATCATCAAACTAGGATTTGAGGTTTTCACATAGGTGCATCCAAAGATGGCATTCTCATTCCCCTAATGATGGAGATAGTTCAGACCACTGAAACATTGGTAAACTTCTACCAGACTGTACTGTGCTACAACCCAGAAGACAGCCATCTTCTTAATTAATCATTGTCCTTTTCCTCTCAGCCATTAGCCCAAATGATTGATAGTACACTATGTTTGACTGTTGCTACTTCATCATTTATGCAGTTATTACATATCTGAGACATGAGCATTGACCATCAAACAGTTATTCAAGTGTGCAGTAAAGAAATTCAGAAGTGAAGAAGTGATTTTCACCAAATGTCAAATTATAGGTACTTTGGAAATTAGGATTTATGCAGACCACAGATTGGGTGGTTGTGTAACTTTGGAATTGAAATAAACCTTACAAGGAAGAGGTCAAAGTTATTCATAATTAAGAAAGGAAATATTGTGCATAATAAGTGTGAAATTTGATTAATCGTATGAATATTATCACCGTGACTAAAACATGTTTTGCTACTGCGTTACAGTAATGTTTGGAAGACGAACGTAGCGCCGTGTCCCTAAATAGGAATCTATAACCAGTCGATTTAGCACAGATGACCAAGTTATAACTCTTAGGAGTGGCGAGGTAGAAGGTGTTGGTGGACGTAATGTTTGCGTGGCTTTGGACGGGGGCACACCTCGAAGAAAGTGATCTATGATCGAATTTCACTCGATTGGCTATTTGTTCGTTTTGTCTGGTATGTTGTCCTGTGTAGGTAGAGTAGGCGTAGATATTCAACGTTAGAGGCCTTTCGTTGGACCTGTTCCCTTCCAAGGATCCTCACCATAGTTTTTAGGAAAGCATTGTTTTAAATGTTCATTTTGAATTGGAAAAGGTCAGAGGGTCTAATTCGCAGAATTAGAAGAAGAATAATCAGTTAGAGCAATTTGGTGACGTATTCAACATGGCAGATGTAAGGTTTTCTGCTCGTGCTTACTGTAAAATGATTCTTCACGCAACGAAATATCCTCATTGTGCAATAAATGGAATTTTGCTAGCGGAAGAGCAAAAATCTAAAGACGATGAGAAAGGAAGATGTTTATTTATCTGCGATGCAGTACCCTTGTTTCACATTTGCTTACACGTAACCCCTATGGCGGAGATTGCGCTTACTCAGGTTTGTAAATATTTATTACTTAACATTTTTATTGATATATTAGTTTTGTAACTAAAGCATAAAGCATAAAGCTATGTTGTTAGGATTATTAAGACAGGTTATTACATAGGTTGCAGATAAGTGGTTTGTATGTGCTTTAAATCTCACAGGTTAACACTGTAATTGTTATTGAAGGATTGGAATTCATTGTACTCTTTCACACAGATCGACCACATGGCTTCGACGTCAGGACTTGTACTGGCAGGATACTATTTAGCAAACGAAAATATAAAGGATCTGAGGTATGTACTACTTGGGTTTTGTTGCACAGCTGAAAGAGTACTGAAAGTAATCATTCCATTAAGTGAAACTTTCAACAGAACTTGAAAATAATTGCAAATATTTATATTTTAAATCTTTTTGTGACAGTTATGAGAAATGCGGTCAGCGAATAGCAGATAAAATAGCCGAGAACTTCAGTTCAGCATGCCTTGTTGTAGTAAGTACAGTTTTTTTCAGCATGGCTACTAAAAAGCCCAGTGTGTAATTGAACATGTATGGTGTATGTGTGAAAAGGTGTATAGGCTGAAATAAGCTTCTGGTTGTCATGGACCTAATCTTACAAAATCTTTTGAAAATGAGATTTTCACCTTTCAGCTCCATAAGTTACCATAAATTGGCTTTTGATTGTATGAACATTAAATATTGACTATGCACAATAGTGAATCCTTTACTGTGATACCAAAAAATGTAAAAACCATAACAGGAAATTAAATATTAAGAACCAAAGAATTCTTCTCTTTGCTTGTATAGCTTTCCAAATTAACGTGTGTAAACACTGCAACAAAACTGCTTATGAATGAACACTATTAGCACATTTTTCTTTTTGTGCATGATGTTTGTAAAGACTACTACAGTAGATGATAGTCAGTAGCTTGACACAGTGGGCTGTCATGCCGTCTTTTAAAATGAAAATACTTGTCATCTTGGTTATCATTACAATGGCAGGAACAAACAACTACCATAAGCGCTTACTAGTGGAAGGTATGTTTATAATGTGTATTTGATGAAATTTGGTATAGATGTGCGATTTGAGATTATCCTAAAATCATATATTTTTAATTTCTTTAGTAATGCCAACATGGCAGATGCAGAAACTTGTGGAGTGGGAGTGAGACACTAGCACCACTCATGTCTTAGTGGAACTGTGGCACCATTTTCTGCAGAGTAAGACAGTACTCTGTTGAATTGTTAATTGCAATTTTTATTTGCACAGATAGACAACAGGAGGTTGACATTGAACATGGAGAATGTGGCTCTATGTGTGTCTCAGTTTGTAGATGGAAGGTGGAAGTCTAAGGAAAAGTCCAGGTAAAATGATCTTCTCCCTACAAATAATGTGTGATTGCTTTATAGTTGCAGTAGGGATATTCAAGTTCTCTATTCTTTCTCTTCTGGTTCTGTTCCATATCTTTTCTTTCAATTCCTGTCCCTATGTCTGTTCATCTGATCAGTGAAATATATGTTGTCTTTGGTTTCCATGCCTGTCTTGAGTTACCAGTTCTTATTCTTAAAATCTGAGACAACCGTTGTTCCTGGACATACATCCGGTGGTAAATATTAGGTTCTAGAATTAATATTACTGGCTTTTTGGATTCTGTCACTAGTGTTATATTCTGAACAGAGCATCTCATTTCATATATTAAACCTGTTTCTGCCATAATATCCTGTTGGCATGGAGAAAATTTATAAACCTAGTACTACTGATTGTAATATTCTATTATCAGAATTTTTTATAATTGGTTATGGTTTAGTTTATTCTACATTTCATTCATTAATCTTATGTACATACCATATTATGCACAAACCATTATGCCATTGTACAATTGGAAACTTGTAGTTGGGCAGTTGCCCTAATGATGGAGGCAGCAAGCACTCTTAAATGTCAGTAAACTCCTACTAGTTTATTACAATCAAAAAGACAGCCATCTCTGCCTGTATGATAACCTGAAATATCACAAGTCATTAATTTTCTTTTAAAATTCTTATGATTTTAATCTACAGCTATAACAGGCTTCACAACTTAATTATTGTTGACAAGTTAATTCCTGAGACATGGTTATGTTGTGGTCTTTCAGCATAACCCTAGACAGCAAGGCACAGAGTGTAGCAGCTTCCCTGCTGCAGAAACGAGTCTATGAGCAGCTGGTAGACTTTGACAATCATTTAGATGATTTGAGTCAGGACTGGAGAAACCTGAATCTGAATCAAGAAGTGGAGGAGGAAATGGGAACAGTTGGGTAGCACCCAGAGTGACATGTGTGATTGTGGGACTCCTAACATGTGCAACATTTTGCACACACTAACAATAATCTAGCAGGTATCACAATGGATATTTACATAACAATATTTCATTGGTGTGTTTTCCAATCACCAGAATGTCTTGAATCACGCACAAGTGCTGTAGAAGAAGACTGCATCATTTCTAGCGTGTTTCATATAGTTTCTCCACAGCCATGACTTGTATACTATTTTCTTCACTGGAAAAGGGTTCTGCTGTTGGGTTGATCAAAGTTAGAATTCAGATTTCAGGATTGTAATGTTTTTAGTTGATGGCAAGTGAAGATCATAAATTGTTTGCTAACATAAAAGAATAAGTAGTGGTTAGCATTTTGAAGCTGAAAGTTCTTTATGTTTAAATTGGTACAGTTCTGTTGTGTCTTTGGATCTGTGTTCCATTGTACTTTTCAGTTTAGCAGTGTTTGAAAGGATAATAGTTTTATCTTTCTGTTATGGAATGGATCTATTGTTAATGTTACTGAAAAGATATGTAATCATTGATGAATTTAAAACTTATTTATCTGTTTGTTTATGATTAGTAAAGCAAAATAAATTTAATACTTTTATGATTTCTATTTCCAGGCAAGAATAGACAATTATCCAGGATAATGGAGAGAACAAGAATCATAATTACTTGAGTCACAGATAATAAAAAATTATCTTAATTTTTACTCATAAACATTTTAAATTACAAACTGTAATAAGCAAGGCAAGCAAATAGATGTTGAATAGCCTGCTATTTTCTTAGCAACTGTTGTTCTGCACATACACAAGCCTTTTGCTCCTAAATGAATACATTGCTTGTCAAGTGTCTACACATTCTCTCACTTTAAAATATGATGCAGTCAAAGATGATGTTTCTCACCTGCCAGTAATTCAAATTCCTGCAGTATTTCTGCTTTAGTATCTCCTGGTTTGCTTAATATGTTTATGTTTGGGTCAGGATTATGACGTGATTGTGAGCGCATTAGTAGCACTGGTGTCAAGTGTCAAGAAGTGTTTAGTTTAGTCTTAACCTCTCCTGTTTTAGCAAAAATATGCAGTAGAATGAGAAATGCGCCTTAAACAATAGACTGGTAGAAGCATGTGACTGGACACAAGTACCTACATAGTTTTGTATTCTTTACTAAACTAAACAAGTGGTGGAAAACAGAAAAAAAGTTATACACACAATCTACAAACAGAATAATCTGCATGTGGATAATGGGGAGTATATTTATTTCTAAAATTGAATTTGTGTCAGAAATTTACATGATTGTATTAAATTAGTTTTGTGTGTGCTGTCAGAATTTGTAATATGAAGGTTAATAATTCAGGCCTAAAAATGTTTATGATATTATATCCTAAATTTCTGCAACCGCAAAGTCCAGATTACTAGTTGGTTAACTTCTTTCTTCAATTATTTAATAATGCTTTTTCATCTGAGTTGAATAGCATTAAGTGGGAAGGTGGTTGTGAATGAGTTGAGAAGGATGAGGGATGAAGTGACTATGCCCTGTTGTAAGACACTGCCCTTGAATTTATCTGGTCTCTCAGCTGATATTCAAACCCAGGACTTTTTGAATACAAAGCATGTGCTGCTAACCACTACACTATGAAGTTGATCCAGATTACTAACATCACTTGAGTAAATGAAATAACTTTCAAGTTTGTCAAATTTTGATTGCTTGTATTTTCAGGAAAATGAAAGTAAGGTATTTTGTGAGATCTGTTCCATACATTCAGAGTTGTAAGATTATGAGATATTTTTAGGGAAATAAATATGGGAGGATGGAGTGGATTCAACTGGCTCTGGGTTGAGTTCATGTGTAGGTCTTTATGAACAGTGGTGCACCTTCATGTTCCATAATAACATAATTTCTTGACCAGTAGAGCATCTGCCTGTTCAAGGAAGACTCTGTTCTGTACAGTTAGTTATGTTTCATTGTTTCTTTATTTTTTGACAAAAAAAGTGTTACATGGATGAGAATGTTTGGGAATCATTGTTTATCTCTGATGCAGATTAAGACAATGAATGATATTTATATCCATTTATACTCTTTTGAAAACATTCCATGCTCTTTATGATTTTTACCAGCATATGAGGCTTGATCAAAATGTATTGGGACTGAACGTATGAAAACTAAGATTACTTTTGTGGATGGGAGGTTAATCATTTAGGTTTGGGGACAGAAAGAAGTCACACTGATCAGGTATTGTCTCATTTGTTGAATACTGTATCTAGCCAAACAGTACCTCACAGGGTGGGGTAAATGGTGGATTAAAGAAAATGCCCTTCATTTGGTAAGATTGGGTTGCAACAAAGAATGGTACTTCCACTGTAATGATTGCTGCTTACTGTTAGTGCCATAATCACAGAACCATGTTTCAGTGCCTATTATACTACGAGTGATTGCAGTAACATGCCAGGATAAGTTCATCACAATTGTGTCCTTCAACATTGCAATTTATCTGAGATATGTTTTCAGTCTTGATACTTTTGATCAGATCTCTTGTTTCACAGGTATATGACTACATAGTGTTTTGTGTTTATGTGAATGTTTTGTACAAATATTAGTTACATTATACAGTATATTTGCTGTTTTCAGAGAGTTTCTGTACTAAAAACAACCCTCTTGGCTGTGATCCTGCTATCCTGATTAAAAGACAATGTCTTTGGAAGAATCTAATGGTACTAAACAAGCATTTATGTGGAGGGACTGAGAAAACTGTGAGAACATTAATTTGTATAGCCAGTAACTCAGCCAAGATTTGAACAAAGTTCTCCCAAATACTTCTTATTTTTACTGCTATAGCACATGTTCTGTCAGGCTATTGATTCATAGAGGTTATTTAGCATCAAATAAGACAAAAGAATGATTATGTTTAATGAAATTTAAAAAAAATGGGAGAATGGTCATGAACTGATTCAAGTGATACGGTTTATGAGTAGTGGTTTGTACTCAGAAAATTCTTACTGGATTTCTCGCAGTGTCGTAAACAACGAAACAGAACATGACGAAGTCTTTAAAAACACTGAAGAGAATATCAGTGTATTCCAGGAAATTGTTCTGAAGCAATTAAGAAGTTACGATGTGTCAGTAAATTTGAGTGAATTCGGGAACCAAGTGGATGATTCTGCTAGAGCAATGCTCTCCTGGTTTCAACCTGGTAAGTTATTGTGATGAATGGGGGTACACTGTTTCTGGAATAAGCTGAAATGTACGTATTTACTGGGGGGGGGGATGCAACACATAAACTATGCTAGAGTCTATAAGGAGCAGGGTACAGACGTAAATACAAAACTTGAGTGTGTGTTCATGAATTTCAAAAGAATGCAAGAAAAATCTCAATAACTTACAATACTTTTATTTTCCGTCGTTTACACAAGCTTATTGTTAAAATCATATAAAATTTCACATAAAATTGTTACATTTTAAAATTGACGACATGTTTCGATATACAATCTTATCATCGTCAGGTCTATCAAAATTAAAATTAAAATCTGGTGTATCTGTTGCTCTGCTTATATTGTTTTTGTTTTTACTCGTTTTTACTACATCTCCAGGCTTCTTCGATTTTATTTTTGGAGACGCGCCTGGGTGCCTATATCGGGTTGTGTATGAGGTGCGTGTCCGTTGTTATTGAATGGCAGACCATCACACCACAAAACAAGATATAAGCTGATTCAAGATACTGCCTGCCTGTTTACAAGTCTGTCCTTCCTGATATTTGCTTGGAAGGACTCCAGATAACAAGGAGGAACCCTAAGAATGCCTGGTGCTGCAGTTGAGACTTACACTACCAGGCCCCTCCTGCATATTAGCCATCATAACATTTGTCTAGAAAACCTAGAATGAAAATTGGAAAAATAAATTTAAAGAGCCCAGAACCAAGAACATTCTGAGTGCTAGAGAAGGTTAACCAAGGTCCAAACCCGAGTTGAGTCACAAAAAGGTAAAAGTGTAATGGAGTTTACTACTATTGAGGTAAGCCACTGGCTTCCATGCAACAAATATCTGGTTCAAGACCAGCCCATAGAAGTGAAGATTTTTTACATGCTTTTGCCTTTTATTGCCTCTGACAAAGTCAATTTTTTTATTTTGAATCATACCATGCATCTATTGTGGTTAATATACTGTGTTAAAGCTGTGGGGCCCCTCTTTTGGCTATCATACTCATAGTCTATTAATTGTGGGCAAGTTGAAAAATGCACACTGTGGGTGCTATCTTCTAAAATCCGCGCTTTTATCCTTTGAGATGAGCAGAAGCAATAATAGTTGAAGGCATTACCTGAAAGCTTACAGCACAAGAAGATGCTGAAGGACAAAGGGATAACAGTTTATTTTCTCACATCATTCTTGTACAACTAATTAAAACAAATAAGGTCACTTTTTTACCTGTGTTCATGCTAAGAACTTAGCAACATGGAATTTGCAAGAATATTCCATCTTAAAACAAAGTAACACAATGCAACAAACCACTCAAAAAGACTTGCTGTCCTGCTCAGTGGTAGCAGTACATAACCCTTTCACTGCCATATCTGTTACTCTTCACAGAGGTTGTATTAGTATGAAGTAACATTTGATTAGGTTTATGGCCATATGCTTGTACAGGAATGTTTTTTTCTTCCATACATAACTGAAATTTGTTTGTAAGGTTTATATCCAAGTTAAATTACAGCTATGGAAGGCAAGAGACCATGTTCTTACAACTATAATGTGTGTCACAGGTGACAAGTGAGTTCTGATTTTGTGCTTAAGAAGAGAGAGAATTACAAGTTGGAATGCCGTGAGATTGCTTTCATTTGAATTGATTAACACAGCATCTGTCTTCCATACGCTCTTATGAGTTGGCAGAGCCATGCAATGACCCATCATTGTCCATTCATTTGAAATAAGTAAACACTTTAAAAACTCTGTAGTTTGTGTGAACTACAATTGTCAGATTTTTGGTCTTGCATTTTTAAAATTAAATAACCAACTTAAAAAAATTAATTTTGCAAATATTTGGTTTGTTATGAAAGTCATGACAAAAGGTACTTATTGACAGTAATGAAGACTGATGCTGATTGGTCTTGCCAGTCCATTCTACTGCTCAACCAACCACAGCACCGGTCTTCAGTAACAGCCTTTGTAGACCTCTATATTTTTATTAGTATTCTAACTTCTTGTGATTATCTTTCCGTAGTTTGAATATTCATGTTGCAGGTCTTGTGTACTCTTGTGGAAGTGTGAAACAGAAGCATTTGGAAATATACAGCTGGACAGACAGAACAGGTTCACTGCAGCAGTGTTGTACAAACCAGTGAACCTGGTTCTGCTAAGCGACCAAAGTCTAATCTGGCCAATGCTTAAGAGGCTGGTTTTCTGTTATATGTAATTCACATCTATATATGTGTGTCCAAGAGAGAGAAAAAGCCCACCAGTTCCAATTAAGATGTTGGGGATATTGTCAAGAAAAATATCCCTCTTCCTGGCAGGAATCAAACTAGCTATTCAGGTTAGAATGAACTATCCTGGTTCATACTGATGATGGAAGAAACAGTCTTGTGTTATGTATCCATCTAAGTATTGGATCCTAATGAAACATAAAGATATTGCAATGCAAAGTATAAATAATTTTTAATTTCATTTCTGAAATATATTTCAGATGAAGTGTTTAGATCTTACAAGTATTTTATATAATGTATTAATTTTTACTCTGATTTATTAATTTTACAAAAAAGTATAACTCTGATTAGAGCTTCACATCAGGTTGAAGTAATGTTAGACTTATACAGATCAAAAATTCAATTCATCTGATAACTTTTAATGTGTGTTCCACAGTATCAAATTTTATAAAAATCAGTAAAGTAGTGTGGGAAATGAAACTTGTGGTTAAAAGATCTCCCTTTCATTTCTTAATTTTATTCACCTTGTGAAAATCATAAGTAGTAACTGTCAAAGAATTATTATTTATTATTTTGGTAAAGAAGTGCTGTTTCCTGTTAATGAGACATTAATGCTAGTTCAAGCATTGGGTGGGTGGGTTACACTGTGCAACATTTTCACTCTCCCTTAATTTAACAACAATAAGAAAAATATGATTTCATACTGCAACATCAATTTGTGATTATTATGCCCTCAGGCCAGCTGAAGGGACAAAGAAAGACATGTGTCAAACTGAATTGGCTAAGTATAACAACACTGTACGAAATATATAAAAAGTCAGTCCTCAACAAACAAACTATGTACATTCTCTTCTGTTTGCTTCTATGGACACATTGAACCCTGACATCTACAGAATGCTCCAGAAAATATACAGGACAGGCTTCTAAAGACAATATAGATTTGAGGTATTTTCCTTCTTCACAGTTAACACTTCCTTCTTCCATCACATTCACAGATTTCACAGACTTCATGTTTCCTTGCTTGTGTCACAGTTTACATCACAGGATGCTGAATATATGTTAATTTAATTAATCTGAGTAGGATTAATTCAGTGAAAGGATTGGGGTCTCTGTATTTATGACTGTGTAAACCAATGTTATGATTAAGTTATTAATTAGACAGGTTAATCATATTTTAACAATAAACTACTTTCCTTAGTTGACTAAAAGGTTTAATATTATGCTATAAATTTTCAAATCATAGAGTTGTAGAAACACTGTATTGGACATTGTCAATTGTCTGAGGAATATTTGATATACACAACATTTCAGAAGTTGGCTCTGCTCCTATCTTCAGGTGATTGGCTGTCATTACACTGACATCTTTTTTTGTATTATTAGTGACAATGGTCATGATTAAACCCAGGACCTTTCAAATGCTAGGCTAGTATGCTAACCACAAGACTACCGGGGTGGCCAGAATGTGGATGTAGTTTTAACTCTAGTTATGAGATACGTCTAGTTTTCCTACTTCATAGTAGAGGGTCCCATATGGAACTTATAACTAGACTTAGTGTAATGATGGCCTGCTCTGTTGTGTTGAGTACCAGCTCTCTCAGTTTTCTAATGATTCTGTTTTCTTCTTTGTGTATGATATCTGCCTTATTCCATTGTCTTCTACGGACCTCATCCTACTAGTGTTCTGCTGTTTTGGACTTGGATATTTCTCCTATTGTTGTATTGTGTTTGTGTTCAGTGGTTCTGGTGTTAAGTGGAAAGAAATGTATAAGAGAGACAAGAAGATCACTTAACACCAAAATTACCAAACACAAATATAACACAAAAATGGGAGAAATATCCAAGTCCAAAACATCAGAACAAGGACCATAGAATGCAATGGAATAAGGCAGAAATCATACACAAAGAATCAGAGTCGTCAGGAAACCGAAAGAGGTCACCAGTCAACCAAACATAAACATAAATTCCATATGGGTCCCTCTTCTATGAAGTAGGAAAACTGGGTGTGTAAATAACTACAATCATTTCTGGGTCACCCCAGTGGCCTAGTGGTTAATATATTAGCCTAGCATTTGATAGGTACCCAATTCAATCCTGACTGTTGTCACTAATAATACAAAAGCGAATGTCAGTATAATGGCAGTGCTAAGTCCTGAAACGTTATAAATGTAAAATATACCTCAGACAATGGACAATATACAACACAGTGTTCATAT